TTTTAAAGCTACACAACGTTCTGGCCTCTATAACGTACTTGGGAGTTTGTTCCACTCATCCACAACTCTATTACCAAACCAGTACTTTCCTATATCCTTCCTGAATCTGAATTTTTCCAACTTAAAACCATTGCTGCGAGTCCTGTCTAGGCTAGATATTTTCAGCACACTATTTACATCCCCTTTATTTATTCCTGTCTTCCATTTATACACCTCAATCATACCCCCCTAATTCTACGTCTTTCTAGAGAGTGCAGATTCAGGGCCCTCAGTCTATCCTCATAGGGAAGGTTTCTGATACATGGATCAACTTTGTCATCCTCCTTTGTACATTTTCCAGAGAATTTATATCCATTCTGTAATAAGGTGACCAAAACTGTGCAGCATAATCTAAATGAGCCTAACCAAGGATGTATAGAGTTGAAGAACAACCTGAGGACTCCTATTATTATGCTTCTTGATATGAAGCCAAGGATTCTATTAGCTTATTGCGAACACTTATGCACTGTTGTCTTGGTTTCAGATTACTGCTAACCAGAACTCCTAAATCTTTTTTCGCAATCCGTAATATTAAGATCTACATTATTTAGTTTATATGTGGCATGGTTATTGTCCTGTACAACATTTAGAACTTTGCATTTGTCTATATTAAACTGCATCTGCCACTTCTCCGACCACTGCATCAGTCTATTCAAATCTTCCTGGAGTGCTCGAATGTCCTCGTCAGAATGAATTCGATGGCCTATTTTGGTGTCATCGCAAACTTGCCGATGTCGCTCTTTATGCCCTCATCTATGTCGTTTATGTAGATTGTGAACAGCAGGGGCCCAACACTGACCCCTGTGGAACACCGCTCGTGACATTTCCCCCACTCTGATTTCTCCCCATTTATGCAAACTCTCTGCTGCCTATTTGTCAACCATGCCTCTATCCAGGAAAAAATTTCCCCTCCTATTCCATGTGCTTTAATTTTCCTCAATATCTCTGATGTGGGACCCTGTCAAAAGCCTTACTGAAGTCCATATACACAATATCATATTCATTACCATGATCTACCTCCTCAAATACCTTAGTGAAAAAAGTTAATAAATTCGTAAGGCAGGAACGCCCCTTTGTAAAACCATGCTGAGATTCGTTGATTAATTTATGCTTTTCAAGATGGCTACGAACTGCCTCGGCAATTATTGATTCCATAATTTTTCCCACATGGAGGTTAGGCTTATTGGTCTATAGTTCGAAGCTAAGGACCTGTCCACCTGTTTTGAAAATAGGTATCACATTTGCCATTTTCCACTTATCTGGCACCATGCCAGTTTGTAGTGATATGTTGAAAAGATTAGCCAAAGGTGTGCTAAGCTCCTCTTTACATTCCTTTAGAACCCTTGCATACAGTTCATCAGGGCCTGGGGATTTGTTAGGTTTTAATTTATCTATTTGCCTAAGGACCATGTCACTTGTGACCCTAATAGTGCACAGTTTATTATCGTCCTGTTCTACATAATTTATCATTACTGGAATATCGCTGGGATCCTCCTGTGTAAAAACTGAGAGGAAGTATGTGTTAAAAATTCTACACATTTCCTTATCACTGTCAGTGAGCTGACCCGAGGAAAATTTTGAGTGGGCCTATCTTGTCCCTGATTTTACTTCTGTATACCTGAAAGAATCCTTTTGGGTTAGTCTTCGATTCTCTTGCAACTTTAACCTCATAATCTCTTTTTGCTTTTCCAATTCCCTTTTTTATTTCTCTCTTTAACTGAATATATCGATTTCTCAATTGCCCCTCTCCTCTTTTGATTTGCCTATATAGCCTCTCTTTTGACCCAAACAGATATTTTAAAACTATTGTTCATCCATTTAGGATCATTTTTGTTTGATCTGATTTCCCTATTTGGAACATAATTTGACTGAGCAGCTAGAACTATGCCCTGGAAAGCATCATATCGGCAACCATCACCACCTACCTGACCCTTAGTCAGGTCATTCCAGTTCAGCCCACCTAAGTTAATTTTTCAGTCCTATGAAATCAGCCAAGCGAAAGTCAGGGACGGAGACTTGATTGCCATTATTAGGGGAATTCCATGATATTTTAAAACTGAGTGATTTGTGATCATTTTTCCCCAAGCTCATCTTTTAACCTCAAGATTATTAATTAGTGTTTCCCTACTGCAAGAACCAAGTCAAGGAGGTTTTTTTCCCCTAGTTGGCTCTGTCACAAACTGTTTTAAAAAAACAATCCTGGATCGTATCAAGAAAGTCACCTGACTCTAAATTTCCTGTCAAATTGCTCCATCAATCTGTCTATATTGAAATCTCCCCATTTGCACAACATTTTCGTATGTAGAAGCCTTACGAATTTCGTCCCATGAAGTTTAAATGCACGCCCTATCAAATTTGGGGCCCTGTAAATCACACCCAAAATTAGTTTTTCTCGGCCCTCGAGAAGCTGTAACCAAACGATTCAGTGCTGACGCTTTTAATTTAATATCTTGTCTAACACAACAATTTAAATTGTCTCTGACATACATCGCTACTCCACCACCTTTTCCCGTTGACCCTGTCAGTGTGGAATAATTTATAGGGCCTTGTATGTGACATTCAAGGGCATCTCTCTATCTTTCAGATTGAGCCAGGTCTCTGTTATAGCAATAATATCTATTGTTTCCTGCACTTGCAATTAAAACTTAGCTCATCTAAACTTATTTCTTACACTCCTGCTATTAGTAAGTAAACCTTAAGGGGGCTAGTCCCTTGCTGCCCTCTGCTGTCCCCCCTTTGTTTGCTGACCTGATCTATTGTTTTTTATTATAACTTCAATGCTGAATGCCTTTTATACATTTACTGTTTCCAACCCAAGTGTTGCAACCTGCTTGTTTCCCACACACACCCCATACCTCTATCTTCCATCAGTTTAAAATCATAGGCTTTTTCACCAATGGCCTTCTCAATCGAGTCTGCAAGTGCTACCACCCCAGCCCCAAGAGATGTACCCCTCCCTTGCATACATATCATGTTTGCCATAAAAGTTGTTCCAGTTGTCAATGAATGGATTGCAAGTTCCTTGCAGTATCTGTCTAGCCAGAAAATTTACCCCAAATTGCCCAGACAACCATTCATTTCCTACTCCCCTTCTAGGCAAGATGCTACATATGATTGGGATCCCTCCCTTAGACTTAATAAATCTATAGCTGACCTGTACTATCTAGCACTCTTCTCTCCTACCCTTCCCCAATATCATTTCCACCAGCACTGAGACAGAAATGGGCTTGCTCCCATTACCTGACATAAATATTATCCAGCCTGTTGACAATGTCCCCAACACCAGCTCCAGGGAGCACACTCTATCTCTCATTTTCTTATTCCTATTACAAAAAGCACGGTCAATGATCTTACCGAGAGTCACCAACCACAAGAATGCGCTTACCTCCATTAGCAGGGGCAGTAGTCCCTTACCTCACTGGCCACTGAAGTACATTCATCCTGAAGAACAGAGAAGCGATTTCCTAACCTTCAATCTTCACTCTTAATTTTCCCTTTAAACTCTGATGCGCCTTCCATTACTGTGAACTACTCGCCACTTGTAGCAGGTGCTGGCTGCACCTCACTGCTGGTAGCCGTTGCTGCCTCCCCAACTACAGCCTCCTCACAGCGAGAGACAGACTGCACCTCGCTGGTAGAAGCCTCATTCCCCACAACTCCAGCCACCTCACACTCTCTCCCAGACCCATTGAGGTGGACCTTCAGCCTCCTAATCTCCTCCTGGAGAAGCAAGACCTCCTCCTTCAACTCTCCAACCTCAATTTTTAAAACACTGCAGAAGCAAGCCATGCTTTGTAACCGTCCACACTAATCCCCAAAGCAGCTCAGGGTCTGTGACCTCACGTGACGACTGACGGACGTGACGTGACGTGACGGACTTGAGTCCTGGAAATAGGAAGCACAATGCCCGCACTCCAAAGGAGGGGCCTTGGGATATTGGCAGTTTGGAGGGATATGTTGTGTATCTTTATACGTATATGCTTCTAAACTGTTGTGTTCTGAGCACCTCTGCAAAAACAGTGATTATGTGTGAGTGAGGTGAAAGTGTTGAATGATGATGAAAGTATTTTCTTTTTGGGGATTTTCTTTCCCTTCTGGGTCACCCTGCCTCGGCGGGAGACGACCGACTTGTTGAAAAAAAAAAAAAAAAGTATAGAACTCAAACTCGTGGCCTCGTGTATTTTATCATGGTACTGTATTTTTAAAAAACCTTAATACTGTATTATTGGTATAATTTTTTTCAGGCATTTCTTCATACCTCCATTAGTTTATTTTTTTATTTACTTTTGGTTTTAAAGGTTCAAATGGGCTAATCTCTGTTTGTAAGGGAAGCTTTCTTAAAGGAGTTATATCTTTTGTGTAAATATAATTGTAAATACTTTATTAAGTGGTGAGTTGCATGTGTTGTAAATGCATTAGTATCTCAATTTTGAGTGATCTATTTGTAATTTTCATTCGTTGTACATATTTTGGTTTTCCTTCCAATTTAATTCCACATTACTATTTATGCAGAGGTGTGATTATTTATCCCTTTAACAATAAAAATGAGACCAAGAAAAAGAGAATACAACCATAAATGCCATACAAAAATACACTGCAAAGTTGGTGTTTTAAACCATAAACACGATCAGTTTTTTTTCTCATTATGCGCTGTGTGCTGCAGGGTTTTTTTTATACTGCGCGCACTGACCATGCAGACCTGTTCTCTTACATGTAGGTGTACTAGCTTTCTCCCACTCGATTTGAGGGCACTAGAATTTTAGCATATAAGTACGGGACTGACCCTGGCTGTTAAGCCGTACATGTACGCGACCAACCCTGAAAGGATTAAACAGTTTGTAGTGAAGTATCTTTTGGTGCTTGTATTCTTTCATTTTATTAAGAGACTATTACCTTAAATAACTTAAACAGTATGTAATAAAGTAGATTTTGATGCTCATATGCTTTCATTTTATTACCAGGTTCTCTCTCTTGTGGCAATAATACTGATTTGTAGCAGTGGATTTAGAAATTGGTCAGGCATTGTGATGATGTGTGGAGATGTTGCAGTGTTCTCTCGCACCATGCCTGTAGTACTAACACATCTGCTTGGCTACCAGACATATGAATTACCTGGTTTAGTGGTAAGTATGTGAGACTTACACTTATGTTTCTATTTTGTAAAAATTGTAATGCTAAGTAAATGAAGTACCTTTTACTTTCCCAGAATACAGTAGGACCCTCGTATCCATGGGGGACATGTTTCAAGGCCCTACCGTGGATACCGAAACCTTGGATAGTAGCAGACCCTATGTATAAGTCCTATACATACCTGTAATAAAGTTTAATTGATAAATTATGCACAATAAGTGGAGAATTATCACTTTTTCACTGATAGGAAGCACTTCGTGGCTTCTCTTAGGCTTTGAAGAACTACCAGCTTCTCTACTTTTGTGCTTTAGGGCCACTAGTATTCAAAATTAAGAGGTATTTTTGGGTCACAGCAGACCGTGGATAACTGAAACCGTGGATACCAAATCAGTGGATACGGGGGTTCTGCTGTAATTAGTTCTCAGAGTTAAAAAAAAAAAAGGAAATTTTCATGTATGCTGGAAAAGGAAAAAATGGTTCATATATTGAGTGGCATAGAGAGAGAGAGAATAAAAACTTAGGGCCTATACCAGGGTTTTAAATGACCAGATTCTTCAGTATATAAAGTTAATAGCTAAAGGAGTCTAGTTTTGATCTAAAAAAAAAATAGCAATTTATTTTGAAAAGTGATCAGTTGCTCACTCTAAGCAACAATGCACAGTAGGGCCCCGCTTTACGGCATTTCGATTTACGGCGTTCCGCTAATACGGTCATTTCAAATTATGACCAAAACTCGCTATACGGCTCCCCCCACTTGACTTTCTAATACGGTCACCGCGCCCAACCTGGTTTGTTTACATTCTCCGTGAAATCTGTAAGCACTAAGTCTCTCCAATATGTCTAGAAACTCCAAAATTTCAAGTGTTTTTAAAAGTTATTTCATATTTTATATATACAGTGGACCCCCGCTTAACGATCACCTCCCAATGCGACCAATTATGTAAGTGTATTTATGTAAGTGCGTTTGTACGTGTATGTTTGGGGGTCTGAAATGGACTAATCTACTTCACAATATTCCTTATGGGAACAAATTCGGTCAATACTGGCACCTGAACATACTTCTGGAATGAAAAAAATACAGTATCGTTAACCGGGGGTCCACTGTACTCTGATAATTATACTTATGTATACCTATACCTAAATAAACTTACATACTGTGCTGGCATGCAGGTACACATTAAAATCAGTGTCTTATGTCTCGAGAGGTCATATTAGTAATGATGATAATAATCACCGAGTCTCATTTAACCCTTTGACTGTTTCAGGCCCCTCTCTGAAACTGTCATTCTATGTCGCTCAATTTTTGAAAAAAAAAAATATTATTTTTTCTTATGAAATGATAGAGAATCTTTTCCCGATGGTAATGACACCAAAAGTTCGAAATTTGGTCGAAAACTCGTGGAATTATGCTCCCGCGAAGTTAGCGGTCTAGGCGACATATGCGTATCGGCGATTTCGCCGACTTTGAGCCCTATTTTCAGCCAATTCCATTGTTTCAGTTGACCAAACTCATAGCTATTTCTTTAGAACTCCATTTTATCTATCAGCTGAGTACAAGAAACCTCCATTTACTAATTTGGACTACCCAATATGGTGGTCAGAATTGGCAATTTGGCCAATTTCACACAAATAAAAAAAGATGCCAATTTCAAAATGGGGTCCAGAATAAACAAGGTAGACATTCGTGGCACTAAAATAACATATGCTCTGTTCATTAGTCACATCTCTAGCCCCTCTTATATTATTATTGTTTTCTATTTTGATTTTTTATTCATACAAAAAATACAAAATTTACTGTTATGCAGACGACTGCATTATTGTAAAAATGGTATAAATAATATCAGTGCACTAGTGAAAGAATATTAGACTCCCCAGTTGACGTGTATTGGACGTGTGGTGTGATTTATTTACTCTTGAACATTGGTAAAAATCGAACATTTCCGCTACTTTGAGCTCAGTTTCAAGTCGTTTTCATCGTAAAGTAATGAAAATCATCTCTATTTCTGTAATATGTTTTCCATTTTATCACCTAAGACCATGAAAACGCGAATACAACGATAAATACTATACGAAAATACACCTCAAAGTCGGCGTTTTATTCCAAAAAAACGATCAGAGTTTTTTTTTTCTCATTACGCAATGTGTGCTGCAGGATTTTTTTTATGTGGTGCACACTGACCACACAGACCCATTCTCTCACATGTGGGCCTACCAGCTTTCTCCCACTTGATTTGAAGCCGCTAGAATTATTGAGTATATATACGTCAGAAACATTGGCTCGTAAGACGTATTTATACGTCGAAAACAGTCAAAGGGTTAAATGTCATATATTACATTAATATACACATTTTCATTAATCCTTCTGATATTTTTTCAAAATTAAATAATAAACACGATACATAACATATAAAGATGATAAATACACCCCACAATAGAATAAATAAACATAAATGAGATGTCGTAGCCAGATAACTTGTACAAGTGACGGCAAGAATAATAATTTCTCTAATCTAACATAAGAGATAATGTGTTACTGGGGTAACTGTAGAAAATTATTTCATTCGTATCTATGTAAGTTTATTCAGGTATACACAAATACAGTTACATAAATTATCATACATAACAGCATGTGTGTAGAGAACCTTGGATAACCCAAAAAAAGTAAGTGACTTATTTTCATTGCCTTCACTCAGAGCGTCATTTCTTCTCAAAATGATGTTACTTGAGAATGGGAGTGTTCTTCTTTATTTATTCTACCGTATCAATGTAGAGACAACTTGTACACAATGTAACTTGTACACAAACCAGACGTGTACACTTTGTTTACAAAACTTACGTTCGCCTAGTTTGTTTACATAACTCTGTGCCTGTCCTCTCTCATGTACTCATTCTCTCTCTCTCTCTCATTTATTCATTTTATCTCATTACTCACTCCGACCCTACAAAAGATCAAAAATTTTAAGGAAGTAATGATAAAAATCTTTTCTTTTTTTCGCTTGGGTCT